AAATATTGAAAAAGGCAGAATATTATATTTCCCTGGGCGAGAAAGGGAGAAACATGCTCTTGGGAAGCAGCCCCCCGCCTTCCTTAATAGCCCCCAGCGGATGTCAGCACTTGAGAAATAAAGAGAAGGCTAGCTCTATTCATAAGCAAATATCCCTCGCCCACGATCCAACAAAGGTAGGATTAGCCCTCAGCCCAAATAGGAATTGCCCAGCAAGCACCTTCGTTTACATCAGCCAAACTTCAACCGAGCTTAGCTCAGGCAAACTCTTAGGATCTGTACAGCCAGTAGAGGCTGACAACAGCCAGTAGAAGACGTGTTCTTGCGCAGGAACAGGAAGCTCAAGGGCAAAGCCCAAGAGAAAGTATAAATAGACTCCCCCCCCCCACACACTCTCAACTCCATGTGGTCAGCTGCATTGGAGCCCATGTGGTTCTGCTTCATCCATAAATGGACCGTCTTCCCAATCGGCCTCCAGTGACTTTCTCCTGTCTTGGAACTGGACCAGATGGACCTACTGTATTTTTCGGAGTATAAGACGCACCTTTTTCTCCCAGAAAAGAGGGCGAAAATCTGGATGCGTCTTATACACTGAATTCAGCATTTGGGGCTGTTTCCACACCCCACCTCAGCCCCCAGGAGCACTCGACAGGCTTCCCAAGAGCCTCCCCAGGGCCTATGCATGCCCTGGTTTTTTTGCAAACAAATGGGCCATTTTTTGCTCATTTTTGCTTCCCCAACCCCCAGGAGCCCTTGGCAGGCCTCTCAAAATCTCTGCGTGGCCTATTTTTCGCAAGAAAACAGAGGGTTTGGGAGGCCTGCAGAGTGCAAAACCTTTTTAATTTACCTCTTCAAAATCTTATAGTCCGAAAAATGCGGTATGTCCTCCGACACCTTCAGCCTATCAAAGCCGACCGCAAGTCGAACCTTTGATCCCTCCAGCAGGTGCCACGCTGGGTGGGATTTCGTGGGAGGTGCCACGGAAGAGAATTCAGCCCTGGCAATGGGGCTGCCCGTTGCCTCTGCCACCACCACCCCGTCCCCCCCATCTGGGGCACCTTCTGAATCCATTGGAAAACAGGACAGGCCCTCCCCAAGTGCAGGAGGCCATTGTTAACAGGAAACAGAAGAGGAAGAGGGGTGGTGGTGGTGCGGATGCTGGTAACCATGGAGACCAGGGCAGGCTTGGGTACCACTCTCTGCGACAGGAAGGAAGAAGTTGCCGATTGCGTAACCAGCCGGTTGAGTCAGAAAGGGGGTGGGTTGCATAAGCCTCCCTCCCCATCCTTTTAGAGGGGGGGGGGCCCTTCAGACCCCATAGAGGAAAAGCCTAGAGGGGCCTTGGATGCTCTTTGAACCGGGTGGTTCTCTTGCAGATCTTCTGGGTCTCATTCAAGTGACCTCATCACTTGGACCACGTGGATCGTGAAACATTGCAACAAAACAGAGAGCATTAAGGACCCTGCAATCCTCCTCCTCCTCCTCTCCACAACCCCTCCCTTCTAGCCCTGAAGACGTTACCTAGTTGGGTAATGAAACACCTGCAGAAAACCTGCCAAGCTGAGACAGCCCCAAATACTCACATCTGTCCTC